TTATACACTGAAAGATGCATTGGAAATAAAAAGGAATGGAAGTAAAGAAAAGCATTGAAGAAAATGAAGGTAACAAATGAAGGTAAAAAAGTCATTTAGCACTGTGTGAGGTGTTATTTTCAATTTTGCCCAATGCAAGTAATTGCAACAACACTGAACATACACAGCTAACATATTGCCGGTTGTATGTCAACTTACATCACCATTTGTAATATAGTCTTGTGTAGCTTTAACTTCTGCCCTTGCATCAGCCACGGTCCTGTTGCACAGTTCCTGAACCACAGACATATATCCAAATCCCTGGTCTTTATATACTGCCAAACAAAATGATACAGCTCATTAAGCCAAAATGGAAAGGCGAGATCCAATTGATACNCATAATTAGATGAATGATAGGATGATAAAAGTGGAAACAGCCTTTGAGAAAAGTGAGACAAGAGTTATCAATTGCATGGGTCTTTGCATGCGACAAAGGCTGGAATTTCTTACCTCATAGAAATAGCTGTCACTGTAGAATGCATGGCTGATCTACTTGAGTCATGTCTGGCATCTGTTATTATACACTGAAAGATGCATTGGAAATAAAAAGGAATGGAAGTAAAGAAAAGCATTGAAGAAAAGGAAGGTAACAAATGAAGGTAAAAAAGTCATTTAGCACTGTGTGAGGCGTTATTTTCAATTTTGCCCAATGCAAGTAATTGCAACAACCCTGAACATACACAGCTAACATCTTGCCGGTTGTATGTCAACTTACATCACCGTTTGTAATATAGTCTTGTGTCGCTTGAACTTCTGCCCTTGCATCAGCCAGGTCCTGTTGCACAGTTCCTGAACCACAGACATATATCCAAATCCCTGGTCTTTATATACTGCCAAACAAAATGATACAGCTCATTAAGCCAAAATGGAAAGGCGAGATCCAATTGATACCCCAACTGAAGATAGGGGTATATGCTAGTTTACTACAGACTAAACCACTCTGCTGTTAAATTACAGGAAACAGCACACCATAGAAAAAGTAAAGATAACATACTACAATGTAT